AAAAAAAAAAAAAAAAAAAAGTAAATCACTTAGATGATAGATACTCCACATGAAAATAAATATGCTAAAATTCATCCATCAAATTGTAATAATAGAAAATAATCGAATAGAAAATTATCATTCATCAATTATTTAAAAAATTCAAAAGTACCAACTTTAGAAAATATCATAGAAAAAAACTAATAGAAGTTTCCAAACCAGCAAATATAATATCCAAATAAACTAATAATCTATAGTAATAATAGAAAATTAACTTCAAGATCAACAGTCTTCCATCTTATTGCCAACCGTAGAATCATCTTCGCCTTGCCCTTCTCACAAGTAGCAGATTTCAAGCCAAGCTATTAAGATCATTAGATGGAGTCACTTGCGTCAGTAGCACTACCTGTCTTGGCACACCTAGCTAGGTGTGCCAAGACAGATTTACACGCGCCCCTCACTCCTCAAAATTAGAGAAATTAAGAGAGTGTAGTTCACATCCCTAATTTTCTTTTTTTAATTGAAAAATAAGACATATTACATAAATTAAAATATCATTAATTATTTATATTAAAAAAATAAAATAAAAATACCAAAATTCATAATTTTTCATTCTCTATAAATAGAGACCACATTTGATAGGTTTTTGAACACAACTAATTTTTTGTTTTATAATATGTTCACCTTATTGTGTATTAACATGTTCATCTTATTCTATAACATGTTCATTTTATTATGTAGCATGTTCATCTTATTCCATAACATGTTCATTTTATTATGTGACATGTTCATGTTATTCTATAACATGTTCATTTTATTATGTAACATGTTTATCTTATTTTATAACATGTTCATCTAAATTTCATCTATGAAAATGTAACATTTTCATCTTATTAGAGAGGATTTTGGTTTGTGAAGGTGGAGGATATTCGATCAAAAGACTAATTTATAAAATTTCTTTTACATTCTACTAGTTTTTCACTTTCATTCCCTATAGTATGACTATTGCATAAATTTGAGTTCTTAACTATAGATTATGGTTTATTATTTCAAGGCGGGGATGCTTGCATTAAACGAGTGAAAGTCGAGCAAGAAATTGACCAGAATTTTGTGTATGAAGTGGAAATGGGAGAAAATGATGTGAGAGCCCGTGATGTAGATATGGAATTTAAACATGTTCATCTTATTCTATAACATGTTTATTTTATTATGTAACATGTTCATGTTATTCTATAACATGTTCATTTTA